TGGCCCCGCATCCCTCCAGGCCGTCACCCACCACCGCATCCCGTTCAACGCGCAGGACCTCTACCAGATCGCCGTCCTCCTGTCACACCACGACACCCTCGGCCTGACGCAGGACCCGGACCTCATGCGCGGCATCGCCGAGGCCTTCGCGCGCACGGACCAGACCCTCCTCACGCCCTTTCAGGTCAACCTCGTCGTGACGACGCTGCGACGGGTCGGGGTGCGGTGCAGCCCGGCGGCGCTCGCCCTCCCGGAGGCCGACGCGATCTCGCCCGAGTCCTTGCTGAATGTTCTTACCACCATGCAGGTGGGCGGGATGCGGGATGAGCGGAAGGTCACCGAGGTGATTAAACTCCTGCCGCCGATCCTCGACGAGTGCTCGCCTAGCCAGATCGCGACGATGATTCATGAGCTTGGGCGGCTCCAGTGCGCGGATGGAAATATCCTCGCGAGACTCGCACGGCGGCTCCTTACCTGCGGCGATTCCCTGAGCGTCTTGGAGGTGTCGTTGGTGGTGAAGGCCCTGGCGACCTCTCGGGTGGTCCCAGCAGGGGTGCTCCGGTCGATCTTCACGATGGCGACGTCCGTCATGACGGAGTTCCAGCCAGAGGATTATGCCAACTGCCTGGATGGGCTGATGGTCGCGGGCGGGCAGTATTCGAAATTTTTTAATCAAATTGTAGAGGGGGGGCTGAACTATGTGGAAAATATGGACGCGGAAACCCTAAGTCGCTTTATAATGGCCTTTACAGTCCTTGACTACAAACAAACAGAGCATGTGGATATATTCGCGGATGCCCTGGTCGACCTCGCCGAGGATCTTCGCGAGGAAAAACTTGTGGACGCCTTTATTGCCCTTCAGAAGCGCAACCTCCTCGTACGGGGAGATATCTTCGCGGCTATGATGAACTGCCTCGTGAAGGCCGCACCGGTCCTTCACCCACGCCTCATTGGACCCGTGATAGAGGTTTGCAGTCAGGTCCCGCATAACTCTGACGTGTTGATGGGGATTTTGCTCGATCGCGCGGTAGAGTGTGTGCGGGTTTTGCCCCCCTTTCACTTCGCCGGGATTCTCGACGCGATCGCGTTCTACCCACCGGCCCGAACGCACCCTATCGTTGGAGTTTTTGGCCGCCAGGCAAAGCTTCGCGTAGAGTTAATGAGCCCCCCGCTCCTTGCGATGGCCGCCCGAGGCCTGGCAACCTTAGGCTACGATGATAGTTCCTTTTATACTCTCCTCGCCGAGACTGGGTTTCGCCTGGGGGTAAAGGACTGGTGGCACTTGGAGCCCATTCTGATGGGGCTTTCCATCGCTGGAGAGTGCCCAGTTCGAACTGCGAAGGTGATTGCCTCCCACCTCGCGCCGATGGCCCGCTCGATGAGCGTTAGCGAGATCCAACGCGTGAGCCGTTATTTAGGAAAGCTGCACTGTGAGGAAGAATATGTCTACCGCGCGCTCGCCTCTAGAATGATTCAGTTCGTGAAGGAAATCACGCCAGATATGCCCGAGGAGCTGCAGGTGGTCTTGCAGAAAGGTGCCATAGTGACACCAGTAGGGAATACTGAGGACGGGAGTGTAGTTAGATGACTTCCTAATGCTTATTTTCTTGTTTCTTGATTGCCTTTTGTTGATAAAAAGACTTTACAGGAAAATATTTTCTTAGTGTATCGCAGAAGAAGAGCATATTGTCCCTCAAAATAGACAAATAACAATACATGGTGTTCTGAATAAACCATAAAGAGCATAATGATGGGGGGAAGGAGGGAGGGGCAAAGAGTATTTGTGTAATTTCTTTGTATTCTTGTTACTTTTCCCATTTTATCTGCACGTTCTCATTTTTTTCAAAGCCGGGTCGGGGAACGAAAGCCGAATCTTAACTTTATTAGGTTGCAATATTGCATATCAACCTGTTCCTTTTATTCAAAGGCACTGCGCATATAATAATAGGAATAAAGATTATTATTCATCAAAGACATCCCTGCACCGATGAAATGTTCCTCTGACAATCAAGAAATGTCAAATTCGATCTCTTCATCCGTCGAGGAAGAGGACGACGACATTGCTTATGATCGCGACTACCCCCTCGGTACTCGAAAGCGGTATCTTTTTAAAGAGGCAATGCGGCGTCTTCGCGACGAGCGACATGAGCAGCTCCAGGGGGATAATCCCAAACGCGAGTGCACTTTTCACCCCAAAGTTCCTAGCGGTAATGCGCTGAAAATGAAGACCTTGGCAGATGCGAAAGGTAGCGAAGGGGACGATGGATTGGATCGCCATGCCGATTCGGGCACTTCCGCCTTCACGCGCCGCGCCAATCAGGGTTCGAAAATCCGGGTGATGTCGCTCCAGGCTGAAGGGGTGACCAATCTCGAGGAGAAATCCACGCCGGCGTCTTCTTTTTTCCCGCCTATGAACACGCCTAACGTCCTTAAAATAAGTCCCCGCATTCATTATGAAAAGCAGGTTCTGGCGAAGGAAGGCCTTCCATTCTACGGGCGAACGGTGGAGCGTCAGCGAGAATTCCAGCGCCGACAACATGACGAAGAGGATGGGAAACGCATGCCTAATTCATACAGGAATGGCAGCTTCTCATCTTTTACTGATAATGAATCCCATAAAACTGCTCGACAGGCGTTTGAAGAGCGCAATCAAAAACTTCTTCAACGGCGCATAGATCTGCAAAACGCCAGCATCGAGCGCTATGCCACGATGTTTCACCCTCAAATCTTACCAAACTCAGTTGCTATCGACGAGGCTGTTCAGGCTCGTCTACGCGCGAGGAAAGGACGAAATTGCCTTGAAAAAGACGGGTCGCGCTCAGTTAAACGAGGTGAGCTTCTTTATCAAAAAGCGATGGAATCGCACATGAATAAGATAAAGCTCGTGGAGAAGCTCCACCAACAGGAAGACGATGAAGTCTGCCAAGGGTATAAGCCCAATATTAACCCTTATACGAAAGAGTGGATTCAACATAGTGAACATCATGAGCTCTTTACGAAGGATTTCGTTACCAGACAAGAAATTTATCGTGAAGCCCGAGAAGAATTAAAGGATATGATTGCTCAAAATGAAGAAAGGAAAAACATGAAGGAAAGGCGAGCGTCTTCTCGTGTTCACGTTAATTCTGACATGATCCTAAACCAAGTGGTGCGCCTTTACCACAATGAGGTGAAGGCGTTAAACGAGAAATCCCCCATAGATTGTGACCCCGCACAAGAGTGTTCGTTTGTCCCGATGCTCTCAAAAGGAAGCGTCAACATAATGCAGAAAATGCAGAATCGTGAAAAGGACTTTGTTTCCCGCCTCGCGCGCCCAGGGGCATCAACAGGGAGGAGTACCGAATGCTTATCCAGACAGCGAACCAATAATGAGCTGAAAAGCGACGATGATAAGGATCGGCATGCTGACCACTCAGAAAATGGGTTTAAGGGGCGTGCTTATGAAAACAGTTTGAGGCGATCTCCGCAATCGATTTCCTCTGGTACCGAGATGGTTGATTGCCGTTCACAGACCTCAAGCCTCACGAAGCGGGGGGTGACTTCGGTAAAAATGACTGCCTTTCTTCAACGGCAGCTCGATAATCAACACCAGCGCGAGGAGTGGATTCGCATGGTTGAGGAAAAAAAGGCGGCAGCGGAAAAGGGGTTCTGCACCTTTCAACCCAAGACGCACCCCAGTAAATTACGCACGAGGCGCCAGAATCCGAACAAACAGGAAATCTCCGAGGGCGTCTCCTCGTCCTTGACGTTTGTGAAAAAGGAGGTCAAACGATGCGATGTGGTAGGCAAGATATCCGGCGTGCAGCTTTTTGTGATGCGCCAGGAAGAGGCAAGGCGGCGCCGTGCGGAGAAGGCTGCGCTGCTCGCCAACATCGGGGTCTGCCGACCCCCCGGGAGAGATCGAAACAACGGAAAAGGTCCCTTTAAACCCACAGAGGTCGTCCCTTTTAATTTAAGCACGGAGCGACGCGCGAACTGGCGGCGTTCGCCCTCTCAGAAGTCGAATTCACTCCAGACCGGGGAGGATTTTAGCCGTTGTACTAGTTCAAAACCGGTCTTAGTGTCCTGGGAGTCGAGTCCAATGCAGCGCTCTTAGCGTTTGCCGTCTCCCAGGAGGCGCTCCGAATGAACTTCGGATTGAATACATAAAAAAAAAAGAACAAAAAGAAGACCATGATAAACGAGCCTTTACACTCTCTAGTAGCAATGATAACTTCATAGGTAAGCTAGTTTTTGCTATTGGTATTAGTTAAAAGTTCAACAGATGCGATCTGACATGATAGGAGTGTTCTTCTTCCACACTTAGTTTCTTTAACTTACTACATGGGAGCACAGGGGTTAAAAGGAGCTTGTACACAGCCTGTTCAAAAATGAAGCTTTTTATTTTATACAGGGCTGAATAGATTCTCACGTTGGAGATTTATCCATTTATAAAACTGTTCCCTTCGCTTCAGTAAGTTTCAGGAAAAAAGGACATTTGTCATAAGCATAGATCTCATATAGTGCCCTATGGCTGTTTCGTAGCGTACGCTACACTTCCTTTTTCAGGATTATGTGAACATTATATAATACTCCGTCCTACAATGGAGTGTCTATATTTCCCTTCTGGTGAAATTTACACCGATTTATCTTCTCTTATTTTTTTTTCAACATGAGGTCATTATTATACAATCTCGGGCTTATTCTCTACGTTGTTTCCCCATCGCCCACCCTTTTTCTTGATTTTACTTTGGTTCATCAGGGATTTAACGATGCCAGAGTATCTAGCCACTATTACAATCAATGGCAATAGCAGCAAAAACAATATTAATAATCATCAACAACTGATGAAAACGAATGAACCAAGACACAAATAAGAATGTGCCAGACAAAACAAACCCGAAATGTTCATTCTACCCACAATTCCATTCCCCCCTCCCTCCCCCCTTCTGAAACCTCCTCTTTCATATGTTTGGAAACAAAAGTATTTTTATTAAAGTTAATAATTAATAATTAAAGGTGGCAAAGAGTAAACAAGTATAGTGTGACCATCACTACGGAAACGTTTCCCCTTAAGGCATAGATTACATTCGAAGACCCACTACGGCGTACGAGTATCCATTAGCTGGAGAGAAAGGGGGTGGGTGAAGGAAAGTGCTTTCAGCTTTGGTTGAGCAAGGCTAAAAAGTATAGGAACTCCTTCGAGGCAACCCTATAGAGTCTTCAATGCTAACCACAAAGCGCCGTCGCATAGAATCTTTATTGAGCTCTTCCAGCAATGGAAATTCTTTGATTATCTCTGACGCGGTGATCCTTTCTGGGATTCGAACGGAGGTTGTTCGAACGCTTCCGTTTTGGAGATGTTTTGTGGATCTGCAGCGGTGGTCAAGGACGATTCCGACCCTTATAGATTGCGAAATCAAACTTCTCTGTCGTATTCCCTGCGAGTTTTTTTACGGGGTGGATGTTGTGTGGGCCGTGGCCGATATCCGCGTACGCTCTCGAAAATACCAAACTCGATCACGATCTGCGAAGGCGATTTTAAACAAAAATTCTTCACCCGCCTCCGGCCTCCCGCTATCGTCAAATTCGGGGGAGTATTTGCTAAAGGACCACCTCTGGAGTCTGGGAACGATGCACTTTGTTCACCATGACGCGCACCAAAACGTCCATGGCGACTCCCGCAGCTACCACATCCAGTCCGTTGTGTTTTGTAATCAACCGGAGCTTTTGCAGTGCGTGGCGGGCACCATGTTGAGCTTTGCCTTTATATCCTATACAATGATATTCTACTTGGATTATCAAGCCCGTCTGAAGTCCGTTCGTTCGCCTTCCACAGAGGACTCCACCCTACCAAGCGATACGGTCGAGAATGGCGTGTTCAATGGAGATGACGCCGAGAATTTATTTCCTGACGATCCTCTGCTTCTTCGTTTCTCACGTACGCGCACTTTGAAGAATAGTGGGGGTTCTTGGAATCAAATGAAACTGCTTTACCCACTTCCATTGCGAAGCGTTCTGATTTTAGGAATGGGCGGGAATAGTATGGTAGGAAGCCTTCGCCATGCGCTTGGCAGCGAGGTCGATCTGCACGTGGTGGAGATTGAGCCCGCCGTTTTGCAAGCTTGTGAGCGCGTCGGTGCGCTGCCGAACCGCGCCGAAGATACCCATTTTCACCTCCACCTCGAGGATGCCATGAAATGTTTAAAACACACCCTCTCAAAGATCTCGTTTGACATGATTTTCATGGATATTTTTGAACCCACGGAAGGGAAGATGAAAAATGATATGCGAATTTCGAACCTCTGCTTTGATCGCCTGCAGATTAACGGTTTACTTGTCGTGAATATTCATCAGTTGCCTTCACTCTTGAGCTTAAAGCACTTTGGAAGGCTTTTCGGGCTTCGCAATATCCAGGCTGTGAACATTCACGGCTGGAATGAAAGCGTAGTGGTCTGCATGAAAGCTTCATCGACACCTAACTGGCGAATTCTGGAAAGCACACAGGGAGCTGGGGAAGAGGGTAAATCTTACGTAAATAGCTCGCGTGATGGTCTTTCACAACAATGCGGTAAGAATCTTGCGGATATGGTGTATAAATGCTATGAGGAGGTGCTTCCTGGTTGGCTACCCCACTGTTCTTGGTTGAAATCCTCAAAGAGAGTCGGCAATGACAACGATCAGTGTCGTATTTGGGAATCTTAAAAGTAACTTCCTCCTAAACACCCCTCATTGCTGTCTTAATCATCATTAGGATACTCCTTATCGTGCATCAGTGTAATTTTAATGTACACGGTTAATGACGTCAATTACTGACTGGACTATGATATTGATTTACAGTTTCTAGTCATGTCAAACTGTGCGTATACCTGAGTTATTATCAATCTTTTACACCTCCCATGTTGCTTTTACCTTCCTTTTTTAGCAAATCCATTAATATTCAAGAACTCCAGGCCAATTTGTGGTGCTGGTACTAAAAAGCGTAACGAAAAACAAAAGAAAAAGAGAAACAGCGTGTTTAACGTACTTCAAGAATTAGTGATCAATGACTACTGTGTCCCAGGCGCGTGTTGCCGGATTGGCTTCACGTCGGTTAGCCAATGAACTTAACATCCTTGCTCGCTCTGGCAAATGGGAGATCGCGATGGCGACACTTCAGCGGATCGAACCCTCCAACACCGTCCAGGAAAATGTTTACCATTACACCATCGTTATCAGCGCCTGTGGGCGCGCAGGAAAGCTTGCAGAGGCGTTCTCCGTTTTTGACCGTATGAAAGAAAGACAAATTCAGCCAAATTTGTGTACTTATACCGCTCTTATCACCGCTTGTGCAAACAAAGGGCTAATAAACGACGCATTTCGCGTCTATGCGGAAATGCGGCTTCAGAAAGAAATTCCAAACGTGAAAACGATAACCGCAATAGTCACCGCATGCGCGCGCGTTGGGAAATGGGAGAAGGCGATTCAAGTTCTCAAAGAAGCGGAACGACTTTCAATTGAAACAAATGTTATAACGTATACGGCGGCGATTGAAGCTTGTCGTCGGGCTGAGGTTTGCAAACCTGCTATGGCTCTCTTGGCGCTTATGCACAATTCACAAAATTTGAGGCCGAATAATGTTACGTACAATACCGTGTTGGGTGCGTGCACTGCCGCAAACGATACGAATGCCGTGCTCCAAGTTTACGCGAAGATGGTGGCTGATGGATATGGACCGGTGGCGTATACGCGAGATTTGTTGATCAAGCATTTTAAGGGGACTGATACGGAAGATTTGGTCCAAGCACTGGAGATTCAAGGAAATGCTAGATCTAGAATGCAAGGTTCAGATTCCGCCGCCGCCATGGAGGCTGCCCAAGGGAGTAATTAAATATTCAAATAGGTTTTCTCAAATTTGTAAGTGTAACGCTGATTCAGATACTCACATGTGAAACCCTCCCTCCAAAAAAAAAAAAGAATATTCTGTGATGCAATAAAATCCTTGTGTATTGTCGATCTTTAAATTCTTTACGTGTCATTCTATTTTTATGAGTTAACCTGCGAACATCCATAATACGCTTTCCCTAATTTCTACATTCATTTGTTCTGATCTAAACCCAAGGTACCCTAACAGACAGACTGTGATCCCATCCTAGCTGTTAAAGCAAATTCACATCCTTTATATACATAAATATATAATCCTTTAACTTAATCCCTAGTTTTTGCCTGCTTGTAGGATGGACTCCGTGGGTGTCGACCCCACACCCTTCACGCCGCCACGCCAAGGCCCTTCTGTCTCCCCGTTTCCGTCCGAGGCCGCGCTGCTGTCCGGGGTGCGCTATCGGGCGGTGTGGCGCTCCCTATTCCCCCACACCG